CCTCCCCAACACTGGAGCTCTGGAGAACCTGGCAGAAGCAATCTCACAGACAGAGAGAACTTCAGACTTTCCAGCCCCATTTATTACCGCACTCCTAGCTTCAATTCAACACAGTTTTCATGTTGAATCAATGTTAAAATCATACTCGAAGGAAGGTTTGGGGACATCAGTATTCGCCGCATCGCTCCTCAAACCATGGGATCAATGCCATGGGCTGAATTGCAGTTCTGGTCGTGTTCCTGCTGGTTAGCCGTAAACTTTTTTGCTGAGAAAACCGCCCCCTGTCCCCTCCACTCGCCCCCCCCACCCCCGCCCTCCAACGCCGTGTTGAAAAGATAAGCCTTTCCAGCCCAGACGCACTTTCATAATCTAACAGGTTTGATGTGTGAGATTGCTGAAAACCTGCAGGAACTATCCATAAAGCCGGCAAAGGCCACCTGCGCAGGTTGTCCTAGGCCTGATTCAGGCTAAAGTGGACTCCAAAGCACTGAGTCAATCTGTGAGTTCCTGTGAGGAAACATGCAGCAAGAATTCTGGAACGGAATAAACAGAACCACTGGGACTGTCGATACCACTTACATTTACATTTATACATGTCGGGAGAACATCTCAAAGCGTTTGACACCTTCTTGCTGGGCTCCTGAGCTGGGGGGGGATGGAAAACATGGCCGCAAGTGTAGTCAAAGAACTCATTGGATATAAGCAACTGTTATCCATAAAAATTGATCGAGTCAAGCACATTCTCTGAGGCTGGGCTGAAAGCACAGCAATTGTGGGCAGCAGTAAGACCAAGTAGATAGCTTTGTAAATAACATTAGACCAAATCATAGTGTCCAAGTCAGAATACCTACAAATACACAGTCACTACACAGAAACCCGGTAGAAGCACTTTGAGACACTCTTATCTTTATTTGGACTAAACCATTGATTTATTGCAAGGATAATTATTATTATTATTCGCCTAACTAATGACTGGTTAGGAGAACATTTCGTTAGTGATATGAACATTAAACCTGGTGATAATTATCACATCAGATACCACAATTTACAGACATCCCATGTTTCACACACACCGTGATTTCCTATTGTACTTCAGCCAAAATGCATGTACCTATTCGTCCGAATCTCTGAGTTAAATTGAGTCCTGATCAGATTTGGGGACTTAGAATACATTAGAATATACAGCACAGAAACAGGCCATTCGGCCCAACTGTGTTTGTGTTTATGCTCCACATGAGCTTCCTACTGCCCTTCCTCAACTAAGCCTTCAAGCATAATTTCCATTCCTTTCTCCTTTCTCATGTACCTCTCTAGCTTCCCCTTAAATACATGCTATTTGCCTCAACAACTCCTTGTGGTTGCATCTCTCTGTGTGAAGAAATGACAGCTTATCAAAACACTGTCTTACAGCTTTTCAAAATTCGGGTATGGAACAAGTCACGCATAAGTAGTTACGTATAAACTTTTGTTTTAAAATGTAAATGGCCATAAAATAGACCCAGAGACTGGTTCTTTTGGTCATCCTTAAACCAACAACAAAACAAAGCCCAGAATCAATATGATGATTTATGAAGACAGTCGTTTATAATTGAATTTTGGAAACTGCAATGTCCATTTATTTAACAGGTCAAATTCCTGGTCAGTGTTCAATGTTATTCATGAATAATCTACTCCAATTCTACGCCTGGGCAGGGCAAAACATTAGGCAAGTTTCTTTACTCCACACACCTTTGTTTACCTAGCTGTAAGTAGGAACGTGGTTGTAGTCGATTGATGAATGGCTTTTCAATTGGTAATCCTTCATATTTAAAAAAGAACAATAATAATTTGGTCACTCAACCCACGGCTGTTTGTGGGATCCTGCTGCGCGCAATAGACTGTCATGTTTCGACCCAGAAAATATACAGTCAATTCACTTTACAGCACATTCTGTAAAGCGCTTTGAGACTTCTTGAAGACGTGATAAGGCGCAATATCAAATGCAAGGATTATTATTATTACCATTACAACGTTTTATTTCCTTCACAATTTAAGCTTTTCCATTGCATTGTGAGGCAACTTTTCTGCAATGCTTTTTGTCTGTTGTTTTTTGTTCTTTTCTTAAGCAAAAAAGGTTCACAAATGTTAAAACAGTGCATTAATAAGACAGAAATTAAGTTTAACGTAATAATACAATAAAACAGGGTGGAAAAGAGGGGAAGAGAGATGAAAAGAGGGTGAAAAGGGAAGACATTGTCTTCTGAAGTATAGAGCTTCGACATTTTATTGTTAGGAGTTGATTTTAGTTAAAATTCTTGCAGTAATAAAGCTACTGCTGACATTCGAGTACAGTGGAGCAAGGGGTCATAATCTTAAAGTTAGAGCTCAGCCATTCAGGAGTGAAATTAGGAGGCAGTTTTTCACCCAAAGGGTAATGGAAATTTGGAACTCTCTTCCCCCAAAAAGTTCTTTGAGACTGAGGTGGATAGGTATTTGTTAGGTCAGAGTATTAAGGAATATGGGGTAAGGCAAATAATTGGACTTGAGGTGCAGATCATCCATGATCTTATAGAATGGCAGAACTAGGCTCGAGGGGCTGAATGGCCGACTCCTGTTTTTATGGAAGGCTGTTAGAATGGGGTTTTCAGCACCTTGTGAAAGGCGCTATACAAATGGAATTTGTTGTTGTTGTTGTCCAGGTCCATAAAATCCCAACCAGCCTTAGTGTGGAACATGATCATGACATCATCGATCACACAACTAGTGACATCGCTGTGCACCCGGGCAGAAAATCAGCTGGATTTTGGGGTCACCAGCTCAAGGTCCACATCACCTCCTGCCTGCTGCATGGCCCCCGCCTTGCCTACCCCACCATTGGTGGGCGGGGCTTCATACTCTCTGTCCCCACCCTCTGGAACTCCATCCCTCTGCCTCGCCCCCTCCCTTGCCTCCTTCAAGATCCATCTCAAGACATTCCTGTTCGACCGTTCCTTCGGTCACCCTCCTACCCCTACCCTCCCCGCCCTCCACCCCCTCCTGGTCCAACCCAACCACCAGCTCGGGTGCGGATCTCTGACTGTCCAGCACCTTGGGACATCCTCCTGACGTGAAAGGCGCTGTGTAAATATAATATGTTGTTGTTAACTGGTCATCATTAGCTTGTGGACACTGGCCACACGCTGCCAGTTTAATAAATGGCTTGTGAGGGGAGGCTGGAATCTCCCTGGACATGATAGATATCCAATGTGTAATGGTGTCATTGCTTGCACACTTTTCTCAGTGTCTCCACCAAAAACACAAACAAAACCCAGGGGAAATAAAAGAAAATAATGATATAGGTAGACAGGGGGAGAAAGCGATGCCAGGATATAGCAATTTTCTCGCCGGTCTTCCAATATACCTTGACTAAAACCTGGCAAGAACGTGCTGCAACAGTAGCTATTAATAAACTTACTGTGAAATACAGAAGTGTTCCCTCATATGTTTCTGTCTTAATGACTAATTTCAGCCGTGCGATTTGATTGCGAGAATAATTATAGGTGGTCAGTGCTTGAATTGCTTTGAACAGATTTTAATTGAAAAGGCTGTTCTGCTACAAAATGTTACTGTTAACTTTTTTTTAATAAAAGACAGCCATTTTTCCACCACGAATCAGCTTATAATTGAAATATACCAAGTTATTTTACAATGCATTTCCCCACGCTGAAATAAAGCAAACTGTGCCCACTTCTTTACCTTGAAAGAACAAACAAAAGATACAGAATAGTTTTATCTTATTGGATAAACACGTCTACATTTGAAATTAGGTTTACAGATTTATCAAAACTGTCAACAGAAACCTGTCGTATTAAATTGCACTAGGATTGTAATTACAACTATTGATTCCACTGGCAGTAAATCCGCTTAAATAAAAGATTCAACAAAAAAAATTGAATCCTAAACATGTTACAGATGTCAATTGTGCGCTTCCATTTGACATTCTATCCAACAGCCCGGTTGAAATCTGACAAAGATTCACCCAACTGAGGAAAGTGAGTTCAAGTGTAAAGTACCCAGGGAGTTGAACTCGAAACCTTCTGTCTGACCACTTGAGCTGCATGTTAAATGAGAAGCCCTGAAACGCGATAAACATCAAATGAATCCAACTATCAGTGACTGGGTGGAGAGGGAGGGCGAGTAAATCACTCGAGAAAACTTTACTTCCCCCGGTTTGGCGTTAAGACACTCACTGAACAGTAGAACCAGAGGGCAGGGCCCGCGATTGAAAGGGGGGTAAATTCCGAACAAATCTGCGGAAACACTACCTCAGTGAGCGAGTTGTCAAGGTATGGAACAGGCTCCCTGGGGAGATGGTGGAAGCAGAAAATGTCATTTGTTTCAAGAACAAATTGGATAGATTTCTGCTAAAACATAATATCTCGAGATACAGCGATTTCCTGCCTTAGTTCTGAAGTAATAGTCCCTCAAATGACTGGTGTGCAGCTTTGTCATGGTTTTGAAAGAAAACGATTATTTGTAGATGCATAACAACTGTAACCAAGGCTCCCCACTTAATCCAGACAAGAGAATCCTGTCTGATTATGAAACGATGGGAAGAATAATAATCCTCGCCTTTTGATACGGCACCTTATCGCGTCATCGAGAGATGCCTCAAAGCACTTCACAGGATATACTCTAAAGTCACCTCCTCTCCCCACTCCCTCCCCCCACTGGCTCGGGGGCAGACTCCGCCACTGTCAAGCGCTCCGGGGCGCTAACCCACTGCTAGAAAAATGCACCTCGTTGTTGTGTATTTTGTGGGTGAATGCGGCAGCCAATTTGCGCACAGCAATGTGCTCCAAACAGCCATGTTGACCAATTTTACCTGGGGGATTGTTGGCCAGGACACCGGGAGAGAGAAACCGCCTCCTCCAAAAAATCAGCACTGCATTTGGAGCATCGATCAGCATAGACCAGACGACCAACATGTAAATTAAGCTGGTAACATACTTTTTTTTAAGGTAGCTTTAAATCTTCCTTACCTCCAGTGGGCCTCTTATGATGTCTGGCTCTTCTGTTCCAACTTCCAGGGCTACATCGACAGAAGCAAAAGGACGACTTGCCATCTGCTGCCTTTCCCGCATGAGTTGCTGTTTCCGAACAAACACAAAGAAAGTTCTAGAAGGTCAGCGGATATTAATCGGGGCACAAAATAACTCGGGCGATTGGAAGTTATTCGAAATAAATCCTACACCGTCTTATTTTCGGTTCGCCTCCGTTAACCCTCTCGGGCCTCCGCTAGCGTTCTTTCACGTGTGACGTTCTAGCCAACAGCCCAGCTGAATAATGTTCCAAAAACACTTACTTAAAAAAATACATAAAGTATGTTTAAAAAGACTAGGTTGTTTTTCTCCACATTCTCCACTAAGTGAGAGGAGTAACATTTACCACTTCTTGTAAAATTAGGTCGCCTCATGTAGCAAAATAGTTGATATTAATAAAATTGGAAAAGTCTTAGGCTAATCAGCATGTTCCACAATTTTATCAGATGATGGCAGATCTTTTAATCCATTTTCCCATATACGTCTGTCTCCATATCCCTTAATATCATCGCTTTGATCCCCTTATTGAACATCACAATTGTATTATTTTGTAGCTTTGACATTCCTGGCCTCTTTGTGCTGCTGTGTTAGATTTTCAGAAACAAGTACAAAGGTGAGGAATGAAGTGAAACTGGTTTGTCCAGATAGGTCCACTCTAACTGTTAGGGCTTTCTTTGCCTTGCAGGATTGATAGGGGCTGAACGAGAAGAATCTTTGTGCTAAGTGGAGTCCTGTAGCTCAGTGGTTAGAGCACTCGCTTTGCAAGCAAGAGACCTGGGTTCGCTTCCCAGCAGGGTGAAACCTTGGGCAAGTTTCCTTACTCCACACGCCTGATAATAATCCCTCCAAAACAAAGCAATAATACGTTGGCCATTTCAATCCACGACTGTTTGGGGGACCCTGCTGTGTGCAATTGGCTGCTGCGTTTTGCCCACAAATATATACAGTCTATTCTGTGAAGAGCTTTGAGACGTTGAGAAGACGTGAAAAGCGCTACATCAAAAAATGCAAGGATTACTAAGTGCCTCCATATCCAACAGGCTGGGCTGACTAGTCTGTTACGAACAGTACAGCGTGCACCTGCCCGGTTTGCCAACCGGACTACCGAAAGCTCCACAGAGTCGACTCGATTCTTACGAAAAACTCTCCAGTAAGTTGCAGGAGAAAGGAAAGAAGAGACTCTGCTCTAGTCTGAACTGGCTCAAATGTCTGCAGTAATCCTGGAAGGGAACTGCCCACAGCTGACCTGATTCATGCATTTACATGGCGCCCTTCACCGGGGCAGTGTTTCAGAGCGCTTGACAGTGGCGGAGCCTGACCCCGAGCCGGTGGGAGGGAGGTAGGAGGTGACCATAAGCACAGTTGAAGAGGAAGGTATTCGGTCATGATCTGAAAGAGGGGAAGGAGGGGGCAAGGTGGAGGGACGGGGGGAGAGAGACTTCCGAAGCTGTGGGGAGCTTTCACATCACACACTCGAAAGTTTCTAAATCTCAACCGTGTGAGAGCGGAAACTGAACACGGCTGTGTTGCACTGTACAGTACCTTTGTTAAACTATATTGCATACACCACATACATTGAATTACACCTTCTAATCTCTAAAAAAAATATCTTGAATGAAGAAAATGAAGGCTTTATGGTTAAAATAAAAACTAACTCTCCCTTGGTTACATGCTACATTTATGTTTGCAGTGAGATTAATTAGAACACACAGCTATTTTAAAAAAAAACTAAGATGAAACACATTCTGTCATTCACATTTCGTCTAATGGGATTCAAATCCAGATCATTATAAAGCAGCTTATTACAAAAGAACTGTCAAATTGACTTGTTGAAAAGGTTGTAAAGTACGACTTGAGGGCCTAGTTACAATAAGGGTCTGATCAATCTTTCAGTGGATTTTTTTCCCTAAGGAATTAATTTACTGACAAAAGATTCTTTTTATCCAGAATCAATACGAAGGCAAGAGCTGTTTTTTTTTGCTTGGGAGACTTATTCTGGAGAACCCAAATAGATGGAATCGTTCTCATTTTTTTTTTATTTGATGCGTGGAGCTGGTGTTAAAACATTTAAGTAGCTTGTGACAGAATGCTTTTCCAGTAACCTTTAAATGCTTCTTAAGCAATTAGACCCATCTTTACAGGGGATTTAAGCATTTTAGAACTACCTCGACAACTTATTTGATTCTCCCAAAGGATTTGGCTGACCAAAACACTGGCCATTTCACTTAATCAAGAGGATTTAGGGGGATTTCGCTCTGGCCAAAAGTAAGTATTTTGCTATCAACAACAGAGCTATTTTCAACAAATTCAACATTTAAAAATAAAATTCTAGTCATTTAAGATAAATAGATAACTAATTGGAAAAATAAATTCCCCCCCCCCCACCCCCTCCCAGGTTAAGAACCACAGAGCTTATTTAGGACCACAATCAATATGAAGTTAACAGAGGGCAAACTATTAAAACCTAGTCATCTGGATCCAATATCTCTGATGAAGTGTGAATAAATGGCTGTCTACTCGGTCGTCACTTTCTTTGCGCTGCATGCTATGTGCAAACTCCGCTCACGACACTTCCTTCACAAAGTGCAGTCAGTGGCACTTTCTGCACTTTCAGCAAATAACGCTGGCTGTGACTTCGAAGTCGATTACCTTTTGCGCTGGAAGATGGTTAGTCAGCGGTGGGAGTGTTCGAACAGGGGGCATTATAGCAGAGGCTGCCCTGAATTCACAAGGTACCACTTCCAGAATTTCAAACAGAATAATGGAAGAAGCATATGCGATTTTCCAAGTGCTGCAAAGTCAGTCTATTAACTGGTACGTTTGTGGAAAGGGAGGTCACTGGAGGTAAAATATTGTCTGGTGATAAATCATCTCTTCCCCAGTCACGGAAATCGCGATTACGCAACATGCACGGGGAGTGCAACTCATCGCGAGCCTTTTTGCTATGAATTACCCAAAGTTGGCGAGTTTGGGCTTATAAAATCAGTCATACAAGCTGCTCAAGATATTTAAAAGAGTGCAAAGATATTCTTCCATTGACTAAGCAACTCAAACCGCCTTAAGGTATGGAGTTTATGGCTATGACTGTTTTAGCTGTTTTAACTGACATTAAAGGCCTCAGCTACAAGCGCAAGAGAAAAGATTGTGTTTAATGCTCAAGCAAACATTCACATCAAAGAATGCAGGCAACCTTACATTCCATTGCTATCGCTGGGAATAACAGTCCCCAAAACAATAGCTTAATGGATGTTACACCATTCACAAGAAAGGCAAGGTTAATTGAAGCAAAGAAAGATTTAAATCCTAATAGTTGACGTTACAAGAAATTAAAAAAAAATTGATTCAGCGCGTTGTTTTAATGGTAGAGTTCCTGCTGGGTCGCTCACTGAAAAGGTCACATTAGAGATTGATGATTGCTGCAAAGAACAAATGTACCAGTAAAACTACAGAAACGTTTAAAAATATATAAAATGCAAACAAAATTAAAAACCTTATTGCAGAGAGAAAGACTAATGTGAACCGAGAAGGCAACGTATCACCACAATTATTAGTGATATATTCTGAAACATTGCTGGCAACTCGATATTTGTCCTACTATGCACAATATTCATACCATTAAAACTGCTAGTGGTTTAACACATGTAATATTGTTTCCTTACTCCCCACGCCTCTGTTTACCCAGCAGTAAATAGGAATCTGATGGTTAGTCGATTGGCAGATCGCTTTTCCGGGCGTAATAATGCCTTCAAAATAATAATTTGGTCATTCAATCCACGATTGTTTGTGGGACGCTGCCGTGCGCAACTAGCTGCTGCGTTTCGCCCAGAAAATATACAGTCAATTCACTTTCCAGTATATTCTGTAAAGCGCTTTGAAATGTCCAGAAGATGTCATAAGGCGCTATATCAAATGAAAGGATTATTATTATTGCATATGGTTCTCTGGAAGACAAGGTGATGGCTGTATTGTGCATTGGAAGCAGCCAAGTAGAATTGTGATGAATCAGGATCATACAGCTCTGAAATATTTTTGTTTCCAAGTGCGAGTCTGGAGTAAAGTGGTTGCAGCTTGAGTGAGTTGTTCAGTTTGACATTGGCGATTTGAAGTAAAACAATCATTAGCATTGTAGGAGAAAGAGGCAGTTAAATATGTTCTGTAAAACAGCAACCGGTATTGTCTCCTTATTGCAGGTTATGAACTCACCACAGACTGTTTTGAGTATGAATACATGAGGGAAAAGGGGTTAGATTTGAAGCAACAAGGACTTTCAACACAAAGGGTTTCAGACTAAACGACTGGACGGTTTCAAGCAGTCGAGCAATTGTAAGAACCTTCTTTGCAATTCTGTGGTTTTGTTCATTGATGATTCTGTATTAATAATAATAATCATCATCATCATAATCCTTGCATTTGATATAGCGCCTTATATACATTGTCTCGTAGAAATAAAGGAAAATGAGGTGGGTTTTCTTTGGGTGTCTAAACTTCTTGTCTATGGGGAAATATACACTATTCAAAGATATGATAGGGTCTTTCAATAACCTTGTACAGTCAGGTAAACTAAATCATTGGTGGGGGGTACACAGGAGTTCACTCTGCAGGGGATCATAAGCTTGGGCACAGGTTTCAAGATTACAAAGGAATAAAGATCTATTCAAGAATTTTATGACAGAAGTTCATTGGTGATAACCAGTTAACAGTGGCTGCTCCAACCTAGAGACGTTTCAACATCAAAGTGACATAAAACGCAAAGGACGCTGAGATTTAGAAGATCGTCAGCAGCTGTGAGTGGGAATATAGGATGATTTGGAGTTCATCAATTACATTGCAACAAATTAGCCTCCATCATTAGCCTGGCTTGATGGGATTCATCAATTCTAATTCAAGGCAGAAAGGACGTCCAAAACCTTGCAGTAACACTGCGGTCATAACAAAGCCGCAAATCTAGCGTACACAATTTATTCTCCTGCATATGCTACAGGTACAATCATGTTAAACGATAATAATAATTAGAACAATGAACTTTCCAATTGAAATAATGCATCATC